ATATGCATGATCGACACGCCACCTTATACCCTCCTTATATCTTTCGACCGAATCTATGGGTTGACAACTCAATAACACTAAGTCAGTATGACTGGACTGGCCCAAGCTCACCAATAGTAAGAGTCAGCCCCGGCTAAGAGTGCCTTCACCCACTATGAAACACAGGTTCTCCCTGTCCACGAATACTAGAAGTATTGATGCCTAATCTATCCCACATAGCACTAGGACTTCCAAACAATATAAAACCGTTCACTGAGGCCTCCATAATGCCAGTGTACCATATGAATTTTCAAACAATATTCCCAACACCACATTAAGGTGAACTCCCACCCTCTCACAATGATCATGCCAACATATGCTCAATGATTCAATACATCGTGATAACATATAATTTCCACTAAAAGATCACTTTCACTTAAACCATAGAGTTTTGCAAATACTTATACTTAAAAATAGAATTTAGCCTTCAAAACCACAACATTAAAAACATAACTTTCCATTCCATTTCACATAATTTCTAAACCATAATCATTTCATATTTATGCTATATTTATACAAAACCAAGGTATTAACCTTAATATCTATCGCACAACTATCCAAATACACAAAAAAAGAGTTTAGATAATTCAATTATTTCAACTCTTTTGTCACTGAAAAGGTTACCATGGTCAAACAATGACTCCACGTATGTCCACTAACACCACAATGCTTGATCAATAATTAATTTACAAGATTAAACTCTTGAGTATATATGTATTTAATTTTTTTGGGAAATGGGATCTAAGCCTGGGGATTGGAGTATTTGCTTCTTGTTAGTTCAGATCTATTATCTTCTTTAGGGTTGGATTCCATTTTGTAAAGTTTGTTGGGCTTCATGCCAAATTAAATTACTAGATAATGGGTAATTTTGCTCTTCAAAAAATAATTTAGGAAAAAATTGGCTTCACTTAAGAGTACATGATTAATTTTACCTTTGTACTTCTTGAAAATAAGTATAAAGGTAAAATTGAATCTTAATCGAAAATTAAAAAAATTACACACGTATGATAAAGGTTCGTTAATGAAATTAATATAACTCATATCTTACAAAAATATAATTAAATTTGAAACCTTCTACTAATGTTAGAACTCTTGTAAGCCTTTGGGATATATATATATATATATATATCTTCGCCAAAAATGAATTATTGAGATCCAAGCCTGATTAAGGATAGGTCTCTCCACGTGATAAAAATATGGACGAATTAACCAATGGAGGTTAGTGCACATATATAATTGAAATTTTTAATATGTATGATCAATATCAATTATATATATATATATATATATATAGAAAATTGAGCTAGCCTTGAGATTGTGGAAAAAAGGACTTGATATTTGTGACATCTTCAATATGAAAGAGTTTGTGAACTCACACTTGAAGAGGAGATTAGTAAGCTGTCCAATTATGAGTAGAATAAAAGCCGATACAAGAGTCTAACATATCGAATAAAGTTGTATTTAATAACTAATATATATTAAAAGAGAAGAACTATAAATTAAACTTGAGTCTTAAGGTCTTGAGTTAAGATATGATGTCCTTTTGCTACTTTTGCCCACTTGTTCTCTCCCTCATTTTCAAGCCATTGTTGCTCTTCATTCTTAACAATATACTTCCTCCGTTAAAAAATATAAGGTATTTTTAATCAAATCTCACATCTCAATAAAGTAATTAATTGTCTTCAAACTAACCTTACTTTTTTATATTTACCCCTATTTAATTGGGTGCCTCACCCTAAAAAATATAGAATGGTTTATTCAATAAGGATTTTTTTTTTAAAAAAAATAATAATTATTCTTTAAAAGACTAAAAATACATTGCATTCTTTAACATGCAACCTCTAAAAAATTGTCTCAGCTGAGGGAGTATATAAGTAATATATAAATTTATAGAAAGTGAATATAATTTATTCCTCAGACTCTAGTTTAATGTTAGGTATACATAGGAGTAATGAATATAGGTAGAGACTTGGGGGATGTGGATTTGTGAACAAAAATGAAAAAGAAAGGATACAAGTTGGATGTAGTTATGGATGTAGATTCTTCAACCAAATGAAAGACACTCTTCATCTTTCTTTTTTTGCCAAGAAGACTTCTTAGCGTTCAAGATCTCCTTCACACTTCGCTGCTTTATTACGTCCCACTTACTTATTTTTTTAAAAATGACGAAAAGAAAAATTTACATTCGGCCACCTAATCGGTCTTGGTCTCTATTGTTACTGTGACATTCTTCTTAATATTCCCAATAAGACAAGATGTTGTAGATGAGTCAACTCAAACTGATTAAGTGACAGTCGTCGACAGATTACAAACGGATGGGGTCAATATTAATGATTTGTTAACGTTGTAGAAACATTGACAAAAAAAAAAAAGGTTGGAGAAACACAAGGCCAAAATTAATTAGGATGATATGTAATTTTTTTTTATTGAATTTCCACGCTCGCTTTTACGCTTGTAACTAACATAATACCTGCATTCTTTTGACCAAAAAAAACGTAATACATGCATATTGAAATATATTTACTGTTCTTTTTTGGGAAAATTATTACATTTACATGCATACAAAACAGACCGTATTTCCCACATGCACAACGTTATACTTATAGCATATCACTGAGATAAATATAATTCAAATCATTGATATATATATATATATATATATATATAAAATATGTTGTGGAACACAGTTACATTTTTTTTATCCAGCATATCACTCTCTTTTTGGATGTACGTATACATAAATATAAAAATCCAATTTGCAACATAATGGACAAATAAAAATAGGGTGAAAAATAAATTAAAATCTTGGTTATCGATATGCAATTTATAATTAAAAATTGCGAGCCATGCATCAGTTAACAATTTACCCTATTGGTTAGGTAAGGAAACTAGTTTTATCGAAAGAAAATAGAATAGGAAACTAGTAGCAAAGAATACTTCCTCCGTTATTAAACAAATTTTACCCTCAATAAAATAATTATCTACTTTTAAAATAACCTTATCTTTTCATATTTATTCCTATTAAACACCCTACAATAAATAAAAAGTCATCATTAATAGGGACACTTTTGAAAAAAAGGCAATAATTATACCTTGAAAGATTAAAAATACCTTACATTTTTTAGTATTCAATTTCTCAAAAAATGCCTTACATTTTTTGCTGGAGGGAGTATACCTTTGCAAGTCTTTGATTATTGGATGATTCTTAATTTAGGTAAAACATTGTATTAACAAAAAATATGCCCTCCGATTTTATATATACAACCCTTTCAAGTAATTTACTTTGATCCTTTGTACAAGGTCTCGTAAGTTTAAGTAAACTCTTAACAATAATGTAAACTTGGATTGCAAATTTAGATTGTAAACTCATAAAAATTTGTTTCTATCAATAAACAGCTATTAAAATATATTATTAAATAATAAAAATATAAAACATAACCATAATTTAGTTTAAATATATTTCAAATATAAGTAATTGAAATTAAATCATATTGATAGATTATCATAGAAAATATAGAAATTTTAAAATAGAACAACTTATTTTTGGTATTTTTTTATTAATATTAGTTTTTGCTTTTTAAGTTTTTTTTTCTTTGAACCATGTCCTATCACTTCACTTAATCAAGTGTTACATGGTACACACTTAATTTGCTCATCTCGATAAAAATTGAGTTTAACAAGTTTAACTAAGTTTATATCTAGTTTGAATTTATGAATTCACTACTAGAAAAATAGAATTTAGCGAGAGACAAATCCCTCCCTAAATGCCATTTTTTCTAGCTAAATTATTTTTAGCAAGGAATTTTATACCTCAATAAATTTATAACTAAAAAAAGGCTCGTTAAATTTAGCCAAAAATTAGCAAGGGATTCAGTTCCTTGTTAATTTTAGTGAAGGACTGAATTTCTCGCTAATACTATTCAAAATTCGATAACTTTAGCAAGGGATTAGTCCCTCACTAATCCCTCGCTAAATATGCCTAGATTTAAAAATAGTAATGCCATGTCACTTGTCATATATTATCAACTTGTGACATGTTATCAACAATCTCATGCCTCATCAACCTCCATGTCATCTACCATCTCATGCCCTATCACCTACTACATGTGTGACAACTCATAAATTTAATCAAATTTTTATCTAATTTGAGTTTATGAGTGAGTTGACACAATTTTGTGAGCCAAAAACATAAAAACATTAAATTTAGAAAGTTAACTCAAGAGTTTAACAACCATGCTTTACACTTAAAAATTCATACTCCCTCCTATGTTACATTTTTAACCGAATAACATTTTTAATGAGTTAGTTAATTGTCTTTAAAATTACATACTCTTTATAAATACTCCTATTTGATAATGTGTTTTAATTATGGAAAACCTTACTAACTACATTCCTAATTAATAGTATTTTTTATTTGAAAAAACCTCACTAATTGTACCCTGAAAGATCCAAAATGCCTTATATTTTTTAACATATAAATAATTTTTGAAAAATACATTATATTTTTGAATGGCGGTATACATTTTATATATTGCATGAATTGTTTTTACAAAATTCTCTTTAGTAATGGTCAAATTTAAATATATTAAAAAATCTTTAATTAAGATGACTCATTAAATCAATGGTAGGAGTAAATTTTAAAGAATGGCACTAATTATTGATTATTCCCTTCATTCAAAAAATGTAAGAAATTTTTGATCGAATCTCACTCTCAATAAAATAGTTAACTATCTTAAAACTAACACTATATTTTCATATTTATCCTTATTTAATAAGGTGTTTCACTTTAAAATAAATATAAAATAATTTATTTATCATGAACACTTTTGAAAAAAAATACATTAATTATACATCCAAATACTAAAATGTCTTAACATTTTTAACTGAGGGAGTATTTATTATACATAATTACCTTAATCATTTTTCTTAAATTTTGAAAATTAATTAAAAGAATCACATAGAATTGGAGGGGAGGAGTAGTAGTAGCAGCAGTAGTAGTAGCAGCAGTAGTAGTAGCAGTAGCAGTAGTGGTAGTAGTGGTAGTGGTGGTGGTAGTAGTGATAGTAGTGGTGGTGGTGGTAGTGGTGGTGGTGGTGGTAGGAGCAGCAGTAGCAGGAGTAGTAGTGGTAGTAGTGGTAGTGGTAGTAGTGGTGGTGGTGGTAGTAGTAGTGGTGGTGGTAGTATTAGTAGTGGTGGTGGTAGTAGTGGTGGTAGTGTAGTGGTGGTCGTAGCAGCAGCAGCAGTAGTAGCAGTTGTAATAGCAGTAGCAGTAGTAGAAATAGCAGCAGCAGCAGTGGTGGTGGTGGTGGTGGTGGTGGCAGTAGTCGCAGCAGTAGTAGCAACGGCAGCAATAGTAGTAGCAGCAGTAGTAGCAGCAGTAGCAGCAGCAACAGCAGTGGTGGTGGTGGTGGTGGTGGTGGTGGTAGTAAGAGCAGTAGTAGCAGCAGCAGCAGTAGTAGCAGTAGCAGCAGCAGTAACAGTAGGAGTAGCAGTAGCAGCAGCAATAGTAGCAGCAGCAATAGCAGTAATAGCAGTAGTAGTAGCAGCAGCAGCAGCAGTAGCAGTACTCACTCCAAGTCCAAAATAGAAGCAATTTTTGAAAAAAAAAATTCACATACTAATAAAGTCCCCATTCTCATAAATAAATATACATTATTTTTTTTATTTTTAATTTCAATTATCAATGCACGCTATAATGATTAAGAGATATATTTATATAAATATTTAAATCAAAAATATAAGAAGTAAAATGGAGAAATTTTTTTTATAGACTAAATTGCTTATATTTTAAACTAAGATTAATATAAAAAATGCTTATATTTTAAATCGATAAAAGAATATTATTAATATCATTATTATTTGAAAGATCCAAAAAATGAATGAGGAATACCCAAGATGAAGGGAAGGTAGTGGTGTAATGATGATGCAAAGGACAATATTGGTTGGGATTTGAGAAAAGATTCAAAAAAAAATATCCAAGCGACATTGGATGAGATCAATACATTATAGTACATTATTTTTTTTTTTATCTTAAAAGAAGATATGCAGATTTGTCCTATATATTCCTTTGGGATAGGATCCATCACTGCAGGTGCACTCTATGCCCTAGATTTAATTTATACTCTCCCCCGATTTGTTTGATTTAAACTAATGATCCATCATCTCCACATCTCAAAAAGCTTCATCTTTAGCCACGTGATTGTTTGTGTAAATCATGCTCCATCTTTCTTTTTAGTTTACTATTTTATTCTATCTTTATAAATTAAATCACGCACGCTCGCAATATTTATTATATTCATTAATTGTTATTGATTTTTTGAAATAATTTATAGATGTTGCTATATTTAAACATAGATTTTCACTTAATTTTTTTAGTTAGGCTCATTGAAAATGAGAATGGCAAGAAGTAGAGGCAATTAGAGATATTTCGATAAAAGGAAGATGAACAAGATTAAAACATTAAGACAATGTGTATTATACTATTTAATTACGAACTATACGAGGATAGCTAGCTTGCATGTTGTGGATTGCAGTGGCAAAAAAAAAAAAAAGGTGAAACGCATGGTTCTCTTTTCCATAATGGAATATGTCTTTTAAGAAAAGTGAATTAATCATGATTTTCATCCATCTTCAGTTGACAATCATATTACTATTATTTTCAGTTAAGTTATGTTATTCATATAGTAACGCTACTTATGAGTTTGACAACACAATCACAATTAATTAATATTTGAATTTAAACAATTTATTGATTATAAGCTGGCAATTGTATCTAGTTTGGTGAAACTTAAGATCATGACATCATGCGTTTTCATATTTAATTTGGATTATCTTGAAGAACCAATAGAGAATTTAAGGCTGGTAATGAGGCACTTTACAATTAACAATAACTACGTCAACTTACTTAACAAACAAGTTCGGCTATTTATATTTAAACAAAGTATATACGAATAATTATTCATTCCATTATGTTCATATACAAACCTCCCATTTTGTTAACATTTGCCTTAGTCTTATAAAATTGCAAATACAACAATAACAAGCCTCATTTTCATTAAATGAGATTAGCTATATGAATTGCGTGATATCATTATATTATTTCAACAATCAAATCTATAAATATATTGTTCACAAAAAGGCTACGTTCAATAATTTCATTAAGTGCTTTCTTGATCACTTGCTACCTCTCTTAACATAATTCAAGATAATATGTTCCACATTCTTCATTGACCCTTTCCATGTCCTTCTTCAAAACAAATAAAGCATAGTATATTTTATTATCTATAAAAAATAAAAAAAAAAACAGCTCATCACAAACCATCAAAATATCGCAAACCATATATATGTGTAATGTTTGTGCAAATTAAAAATAATCCATGTTTTAGAAGTCACGTCATTAAGATTGACTATTTGTTTATGTCTTATTCATAAGTAATACTACAAAATATATATTTTATGTCTCTCAATTTACATCACTTTTGTAAAAATGACAAAAAAATAAAAGTGATGGTAATTTTATAAATAAGTGTTGAATATGTGAGATCATCAATATTGCTTAATCCACATCGGTTTTTTAAAAAAGCAAAGTGAATTGTAGAAAATAAGTTATTTTAAATTATTAATTTATGGACTTTTTCACATCACTTACCTAAAAAGCAATGTAAATAAATTATCCACATCACTTTTTTAAAAAAGCAAAGTTAAAAATAAATTATTAATTTTTAGATATTTTTCATGTCGCTTTCTAAAAAAGCGACGTGGATTTTAGTAAGCTTTTTTTAAATCAGATCGAGCTCCTCCCTTGCTCCATCATTCTGTGTTTTGAAACCCAACTCTTCTCCTTCTTTTCCTTCAATGGCAACACATTTTTCTTCTCCTCCCCACTGCAGATCTTTCCTCTACTCCACACAAGAACTCTCTCTTCTCTTTCTTACTGGATCAAGACCTACAGCATCGACATCGATGACCGGTAGACTAATTCGAGACTTAAGGCCAGCATTCAACGGTGAGCATTTGACATACATCTCTCTCTTATCCTCTCATCCTCCTCTTTGCCCCATTCGATGGACAACTTCGAGACCCATAACCGAGATCCACGGCTTCTCCTCCTCTTTCCCCTAAGCGAGCAATAGTTGGTTAGTGTCACTTTTACCCACAAATCTTTTTTTTTTGTAGATATTTTTGACCTCTACTTGAGCCTTCTCCATTATCTTTGGTTGCTTCATCAATTTTAATATGATTTTATTTTTCTTTTATTTTATTTTTTTGGTCTGTGAAATTCATAGCTAGCTAGAATGATAAAATTAAAATGGAAGATATTTAAATTTAAATTATTTAATATCTTGTTTTAGGAGAAACCATGTTGCTTTTTGTAAACAAAAAATGTGAAACCACATTGCTTTTAAGAAAAGGGCGTGTCTTATAAAAGTAACGTGGATATATTAACTTTATATGTCGTCCAAATCTATATTTACTATGATAGGGACATGAAATGCTCTAAAAACTCGACATGATGAAAAGCTTTTTTTGGAGTAGTGACATCACCCTTAAATTGTTTTATTGGAACAAAAAAAATTTAAATTTTATTAACTTTGTCTAAAAAGCTAATAAATTTTCAATTTTATCCATGTTAATTATATATACTTTAAAATAAAATACTTCAGTATTTAATTTTTCTATTATTCTAATAGGGATAAAAGAGTAAAGATAGACAAAAATCAAAGAGATGCCAATGGGACTAAAAACCCTCTCTCTTTATTCTATAAATAGAACTAAAATATAAATTAGGCTAAAGTAAGTCGCATTACTAATAGGATCAGCAATATTGAGTACATGAACATGATTAATCAAAACAAAACAGACAAACATGAAATATACACAAAAAATACTAGGATTTATTGTTTAGATCCCGTATAATGTAACCGACACACTCAGATACTTAAATAAAAAGAATATACGACGATGAAGTATAAATTTGAAAGCCAAAAAAGAAGCGTAATTTTGTGGAGAAAGTGGAGAGTGATGGTAAGAGATCAAAAGGGTGGGGCTCAAGAGAGAATAAAAGAGAAATAACGACAAAGCTCTCGTCCCAAAGCAAGCGAGTGAGAGCGAATAAAGCAAATCGACAGCCCAACATGCGAGTTTGTTTTGTTGTTAATCACTACGAGAGCATGTACTATCATTGCTTTAATCCCCTCTCTCTCTCTCTCTCTACAGATCATCTGTCCCTTTTGTCTCTCCTTTTTTATACTCCTCCTCCCTCCATCATCTCCACTCTGATACCCTCTTCTTCTTCTTTCTGGTTTCATATACCAGAAGTTTCTTCTTCTTCTTCTTCTTCTTCTTCTTCTTCTTCTTCTGTCAGCTGGTTTCAAATATATAGCAGAGAAGCAGTGAAGTATGGGTTCGAAGGGAAGGTGGAGGCAGAGTTGGGCTCCGCAGCCATTGACGCCATTAATGGAAGGACCAGACCCTGAGATGCAAGAAGAAGGAGGCAAGAAAGAGAGGTCATGGGAGGTGATAAGAGAATGGTTCAGAGCCCAGAAGATATCGCCTTCTGGAAACTTGGCAAACTCTTTCTATGGCACAATCCAAGCCAAGACACAAGATTTAAGGCTCATTCTTGGTGTCTTAGGTTGTCCCTTGTCTCCTATTCCCTTAGCCCATGATCCTACTCACACCATTAATCGCATCAAAGATGCCCCTTTTGTAAGTTTTCCTTCTCTTCTCCTGTCTTTTTTCTTTAATCCCCCCCTCTCTACCAAGCACTACATTACAGATTTAAAAATACGCCCCTATTCAGGTCTTTTCTTCTTTTTACTTTGGGCACTCCCTAATATGCTTGAACAATGAAATTGAAATATATGAATGAATACTTTTTATTTTTGGATTAAATTACAATAAATTATAACTAAAGGTAATTGAGTGTAGTGAAAAGGGCACTCCTTCACAACATAGTGAATCAAGAATTGAATTACCGCTACAAGAAGTGTCCACATTTAAAGTCCAATCATGCCTCAAATAAAATTTCCTTTATTAGGAGAATACACCATACAAAAATTAAAATAACTAAAAAATTAGACAATCATTTTCTGAATTTCTGTATAAATTTGTGCATAATTTCAGCAAATTTTCGGTAAAATGTCTGCAATGTAATTTTTTCAGAGGAATGTGTATAAATTTTTTAAGAGAATAATTAAAGCAAAGCATTGGGATAAAAAATAGAATTACAATATCTTTGAAAATAAAAATAAAATTTAGATATTTAAAAAAATAATAATATTTTTCAAAGATTTTCCTGTTAATATTATATCTAAAGATTTGGTGGTTAATAGAGTATAATAATGTGATTTAATTCATACAGCCGATTTCCTTTAGTAAGATTATAAAACTATTTGTTTTCGTCATTTAAAAAATAATATATATGATAAAATCTGTAGTGCTGGATAATATACGGACATAGATAGTGATGAGCGATTCAACAATAATGCACACAGTAATCGGAATACATGATGACGACACTATTGAAATGTGGGTATCACTGATTGATAACTCAGCCACACATGCACACATATGTAAGTATGTATG